TTACTAAAATTCATACAGCCATCAGATCAGATTCCTATCTATCTTATTCTCTCTCTCAGTCCCAGTCAAAGCAACTGCAGCACACCAGAGACATACCTCACCCTCTGTGATCACAGTGCTGGGCAGAACAGAGCTGATTTTCATTATCCCCAGAAGCAGCTGTGCCCTGGTGACTCAAAAGGTGACCCCTCTTTGCCTATACTCACTGGGGTTTGGCTGAAGAGCAAAAGTAACAAATGTTCTTTTCTTTAGTTGCCTCAAAAATCAAGAGAAGAATGATGAATCAGCTGTTTCACATCACCTCCTGATTATCCAGTCACTGAGTGAAGCTAAGGAATTTGAACAGATATGTGACTCACATGTGAAAATCCATAGCATGGAAAGACTGAGGAGCCCCAAGATTTTGTCCAGTCTTCCACAAATCTCGAGTCACTATGCTGCCCCTCTGCTAACCCTGCCCTGAGCTAAATTATTTGCATTTCAGTAAATATCCACCAGAGACATCTCACTCTGAAGACACCAGGAAAAGTTAAAATTCATCACATTCCCATCATTCAGTATCCTCAACATAAAAAAAAAAAAAAAAACCACAACAAACCAACCATATCTAGCTCCACCTTCCATCCACTGAGTTTAGTCTCTTCTTGACTCAAGTCTTTGCTGCTTACCAAGCACTTGTTTGTGTGAATTTACACCACAGACTGAACTCGTGGTCTTGTTTCTCATAAATGGGAAAGACTAAAGTAATGCAAACTCTCAGTTTAACGAAATAATTCCGAATACTCACCTTGCATCATCTACAGTTTTACAAAGGCTGCAAAAACTGCAATTTTTCGGTGTCAGTCAGTCAGTACTGAGTGTAGAGGTCACACAAGATGAGTCAGCTGATTTTGTGTAACAACCTCCAATTTAGACCTTGAAGAACCACGTTAGCTCTTTGCCTCAGCATAATATTGGGAAGCCTTGTTCCCTGTGGGAGAAACCTTTTACAGAGATGTAGTTTTCCAGAACAGTCTTTCCTCCTCTTTTTTTTTTTTTACTTTTTTACATGACCTACAGATCTTGTTCTCAGGCATATAACCTTGAAGTAACCATGTCTGAATTCATTTTCAGCCTTCACATTCTATATTAATGACCCTACTATTACTGAGCAGTCTGAGAACACTAATGAGATTAGTTAATGATGTTAGCAGTTATTTTTGCATTTATTTTCATATCCTCAAGGAAAATCTTGTACCGATTTCCTGCAAAAACCCATACAAAATAGCTCCATCATGATTCCCTTGTGCATACATTTAGGCATTTCTTAATCACTTAAACACTTACTGACATTATCCAGGAATTTTATAAGATGCTACTGAATGATATGCCATAAAAAGCCTATTGTACCCATAATTCTCAGCCATTTCCATGGCTCCATCAGTACTTCCAAGGAATCCATAAAAAAAAGACCTGTCTATATGTCTATTGTCAGTTTACCTAAATCTGCTACATAAATATCCCACTTTTGCTGAAAAATTGCAAGCAGTCAAAAACTGACACACATTATAAAATAAACTTGTAATCTCCATCACTAAAAAAAAGCAAGATTGCCATGCAAGACAGTATACTCTCTATAAAGAATTAAAACAATGAAATTAAGCTTTACCTATATTACTGTGCTTTAGGTTTTCCCACTAAGATTCTGTATCGGTTTTTCCACTCTTTTGTCCATATTTGCCATCAGATTTATTTGATAACGGTTACTTGGATTATTCTCAGTTATCCTCTTGAATAACAGTGCATAACTACAGTTCTTCACTCTTTCAGGAAGTGCTGGAGCAAAGCTGTCACAGATATGTCACTAGGAACCAATAGGTCAGGAAAGAGGTTATGCTCAAGGTGGGGTGGGGAGTGAGGGAAAAGAGATTGCTCTGCTGGGGGCAAAGAACTTAGCAAAGCAAAAGCAACCTCAACCAAACAAGAAAAAAAACACTGCAAAACCAAACAAAACCACCCCCACAATAGCAGTTTCTACTCAAAGACCTTGTCCAAAAATCCTAACTGTACCATGACAGCTAATGGCATTACACCAGAAGTTTCAGTACTAAAGAGTTAAACAGCATTGTCAAAATTTAGCCAGAAATAACTCCTACTTACATATGAGCTTACAGGTGGATATTTCAGATGCTCCTCTTAGACAACAAACATTTGTCTAAGCAGACTGAAAAAACAGCTGAAACAACATTTTCTACCTTTATTGAGTCTTCCACCTGATGTGTTTTAAAAGAATGCCAGGTAGTACTCCATTTAATGAGCCTCTTCAGAAAATAGCCACTAGGTTAAGCAAAATAATGTTTGGCTTGTGGTCCTCATGCTTCAAGGGAAACAAATCTAATAGGGCCCATGTTGCTCAGTCTTGGCAACACAAGACAATTCAGGGCTTTAACACAGAAGTAAAGGTTAAATTCCTGAGAAAGTTAATATCAAAACTGAAGCTTCTATTGACTATAGCTTAGGGTTACAGAACCTGTGTTTCTTATAAGACAATTTATCAAGCCCACAGTCCTCTTTGAACTAGCTTTCAAGCTTTCTTTTTCTATCCTCCACCCTGAAAGGAATAGGCAAACTTACTTCTATGTTCATACTGTATTTGTCTTGCATATTTGCAGCTGATTCAGTTATGGGACAAGGAAGAGCCATAAGCAGTAGCAATAGTCACACATCTTCTATTACTAACATAAGCTTTCTTAAGTGTCTCCCTAGATAGGGCAACAGTTAAAATTCAGTCTCTGAGATTATGATCTCAGATGAAGTTCCCTCCCTACACTCCCTTCAAGGTTTTAGAGGACGTTTTGTGCTGGTATTTTTTTGCAGGCTTGGGAATTGTGAGCAAACCGACTCAATTGTTTTGTTTTTACCACAGCCAGGGAAATAATTCTTTGAAACAAAAGTAGAATTGATCCATAGAAACATATGACACATTTTAAACTTCTCCTCATGGAAACTAATGAGCAAACTCCAGTTACTGTTTAAAATAGGCTCAGGAAGGCTACAAATTTTTTAGAAGTAACAATGGGGAAAAAATTCAACATGGTGGTAGAAGGCTTATTGGCAGGCAGTGAGGTTATTTCCAATAGCAAATAGATTGGCTTTTACTTCCCATCTGCAAGTTAGGAACTGATGTCAAAGAACACTTCAGGCGTGTTTCCCCTTTTATGCAAGACTTGATTTCCAGCTAGCCTTACTCATTACTATATTTCATGGATTAGTGCTGTAACCAAATTACTATGAGTTGTTGAGTCATAGACTTTGATGGCACGTAAGCATACAGACAATACTATGACATATCTAAAAGGTTATGTTACCCTTGAAGACCCATTACAAAAGGTAAGAAGTGGCCTCAGACTACTGTTAACATTAATTTTAATATTTTCTTATTATTTATAAAGAAATTTGTACATTTTTATATCACTTAATTTGTACATTTTTATATCACTTTTGCTTGAGAAAAAAAGATTTTTGATATAAATTCAAGTGTAACCAATGTGTGAAAACTGATCATGGAAACATATACCATTCAGAATCACATTGCCCAAGAAATATTCCAACATATTAAACCAACAGCCTTGTAATGTACACATTAAGGATTATTGACTGGTTACGAAGTTAGCAAAGTGAAAATACTGTCAATGCTGCATTACAGGATGGTCACCATGTTGCTTCCCAAAATCTCAGATAGACATGTGTTGTCAGCTGTCTTGTCTCCTGCACAGACTGCTCTAACATTCAATAAGGTATGAAATGCTGCTCTTTAAATCTCTAATGGATAAGATGAAATCACCACTCTAAATAAATATCAGAAAATGGTAACGGTTTAATAGCTCAAAACTGCTGTCAGAATGAAGTACATCAAGTTACAGGTAGAGTAGATTTCATAACACAAAACAAACAAAATAATTAAAGACATGTGTGCATCACTCTCTCTTTAATATTTGAATTCCATTTCCAGAGGAAACGCAAGGCTTCAGATTTTTCTGGTAAAATATGTTCTAACATCAAGCATCCAATTTTGTATGGCAATATTTAGTAAGAGCATATGCGAAAAGACTTAAAAGACTGGGTTACTTAAAAGAATGGTTCTCCTTAACAGGAGTGATGAGTCAAGCTCTAATGCATCACATGAATCACAAAATTAAGAATGAGTTTTTACAGTTTTCCAAAATAAATCTTACGTATCAAGAGCACTAAGGTGTACAACAGCAAAACAAAATCCAGTGTTTCATACTTAAGCATGTACAGCAAATTAACTCTTTAAGCTATATGTGAACAAACACAGCCTAGTTTACACAGTACTCATTTAACTAGTTACTAACAATACATTACAGACAAATACATTTAGACCTTGAAATTATTATCAAATCAAACTACAACAACTGTACCAAGTGTACTTTATCACTTTGATGTAGATTAATCCCCTTGAGCTTGTTTTGGGGGGGTTGTGTTGTTTTAAATAACAGTAATTTAAAAAAATAATTATTTACAAAAATACTGCTAATGGCTCACATTTCTATCCCCTCAATACTCTCCTGTTCTTTTGACCTTTTCTACCATCTTGGCAGTATCCCCAGTAGTTTTTTGAGTAACTACATGCTGCTTAGGCATCTTTTGCACAAGATCCATTGACAACATGCTCCAACTCAGTTTGGTGATGTATTTCAAATGATTTACATCCGAAAGCTTCTGGTTCTGTGAAATGGTTGAAAAGGCTTTTTTAAAGCCCACATCAGTATTGGTGGTTTCTGTTTAGTTTTTTCTGGAAATAGCACCGCTTCAGTTTCAGGGGTAGGAAATCGTACTCTATACACTTCAGGGTAAGATTTCTGAAACTAGAAAAACATATCAGTTTAAACGAAGAATTCACTCAAACTTGTAATATTAAAAAAAACTATTAAAGTGCTACCTCCACCTCTGGAGCAGGAAAATGCTTATTTCTCTAATAGACTTTCTATACCTCTATATAGAAAACTAAGTGATATTTTCTAATATGGCTTGATTCATCACAGTACCCCTATTCTAGACAATTAAAAAGTTAGAAATCCCCAAGCGTACCTACTATTTAAAGTCACAATATTTCTCTAGAGAACTACATGTCTAAGACTTCATAAAACTTTTTAAGTTAAAAATAAAGACTGTGGAGGAATTTTTATTTACTTGCTTGAGCTGCTTCTTCTTATCTTTCACAGATATTTTTTTATTCATTGCAATTTCTTCCAATAAAGCTGCCAGTGGTTCTTGAGAGCCTGTTGCCCTTTGGCATTCAAATTCATCTGTACTGATTTGTCGACAAAACGATGGAGGAGGAAAAGTTGCGTCAGTATCAGCTCCAGCATATTTTATCTGAACAAAGAGTAAAACAAGAGCAGCTATGTTTTCTGCAATAAATTTGCAAAAACTGGCTTAATCAAATCGACCACCTAAAGTCATAAGTAGAAAAGATGTGGAGTAAAGACCCAAAATTCCATCTCCTATCTCCTGCACTAATTGAGTGAGTTCTAGTAAGTCAAAAAAACATGACACAAAGGAAGCCTGTTTAAATCTTGGAGAAGTTAAAAGCTATTTTTTTTAGTAGGAAGTCAAGAAGGAAGAATTAAAAAGCAGATTTGAATTAAACAAAATATGGTATCAGGAAAGAAAAAGAGTTATGAAAATGCAGAGCAAGTAAGAATAGCTCTGAAAGAAAATCAGAACATTAATGGAAACACGTTTTAATCATTCACAGTTTTCCTCACCACCACATAGTTTGCCCATTCCATGGAGAAGATAGTGCTGACCAACAGGAAAACATATTTTAGAGTTCTTACCTCTAAACCATTCAAGATCTCTTTAGTTTCATTTAAACACATAGTTATGGTTGAATATCAGCAGTCAAAATTAATTAGCTCTTCATAAACTAGCAGAGACAGAACAATGCCTTTAAGCACTGTCGAACTTCTGGGCAAAAAGGATAAATTTGACTTAGAAGTACAGAGACATATGAGGTTTTTTAACTAGATACGTACCTGGACTCTCTGGAGATGTATGACATGTTCCTCTATAGAAGATTTTAAGGCAGAAGGAACACTTAAGATCTCTTGATAATTGTCCATGAGAAAAGATACTAGTTTAGCAGCAAGCAGTTCATCCAAGTCCATTTCATCCTTTGAGCAGAGAATACAACGGGAAAATGCCTGAACCATCTGAGGGAAAAAAAAAAGTCATTATTGTATATTTTTTCTGTTTGAGGGTGGGAAGTGGGAAACAGACTGTCTCTAAAATTGATCTTTTAGAAAAAAGACTTTAACAGCACAATGCTTACTCTACTCAATATTAAAAAAAAAAAAATTGTGTACAGTGACATTATCTGAGTGGACTGAAGATGGCTGTTGCCTCATATACACTTCCTAACCCTGACTTTAGACTTAGAATGCCCGAATTCAAGGCTTTGCCAAATAGCCACTTCACGTGGTTTTTCGAGTTAAACAGGGCACAAATATTTCTGAGATTTTAAAAATAACACAAGAATTTAATAGAAGTTAAGTACCAGAAGGAAAACCTAATACCATCATTTTGCAATCATCAAGACAAATTTTAGATCCAGCCCACTTCATGCAGTCTCATGCTCAAACAGTCAGTTACAAGAGTTTTCTTTCTGTGCACCAGTCACTTTTAACATTAAAGTACAGAAAGCAATCAGGGTTTTCTGTAATGTACCATAGACTACACTGCTGAATTAAAACATTGTACAAAATACTTGGACTGTAAAGGACTAATTTATAAAAATAACAGTTAGCTTATAATTATTTTAATCAAAGACCATTTACAGTTAATTAAATTATAACCTTAGCAGTCAGGAAAGTAATTATTTTAATCAAAACTATTCATAGTTAATTAAAAATTTAATTGCTATAGAGCAAATTTAGATTTATGAATGCTACTACAGAATTTTTATGGAGTTGCTCTCCAACTGAGTTTTCTGTTGCCCTTCTTGCAAAAGGACTGAAAATTAACCAAAAGAAACACATGTTCTTAGCTGGTTGGAACTGCCGAGAGTTATGCTTAATAACTTTATAATAAAATGTTGTAAACATCAGTGATAACTCTACAAGTAGCCCTGCAGAAAGAGCAATAGCAAAAAATAGGGCTTTGTCAAAATCTGATTAAAATTACTTTAAGATTTCTGTAGTTTAATGATTAAAAAAAGAGTACAGAAATAAGCTGTTAGGAATTTTTTTTTAAGTGGCTGAAAATAGTGAAATCAAAACATTCAGCTACATATTTCTAACTATGACTGAAACAGGTAGTGTGTTTCTCTCACACTGTCTGCAGTGGTAAAGAACTCTAGAGACCTCATCTACCATGTTTTATTTTTTTTTTACTCAGTAGTGAAATCAGCAGTAATTTAACTTTGGAAGATAAAGAAACCTCTAAATTCTGAGCAAATTCTTTATTTGCTCACAACTTGCCAAGAAATCGCAATTTATTCAAATTTAGAGTAGCTTTCTACATAGCTAGAAGACATGAACTGTTCTTCAAACAAGCAAACTCTATTTCCTGTACACTTTTAAGAATTTTTCATACGTGCTACTTCAAAAGCCTTGTCTAGACCTTTTGCCTTATACTATACGTACCAAGGTTCTGGTCCTCACTGATTCAGAAAGAGGTGGCAAATCCTTGTTAAGGCTAATTCTTGCCATCATCCTCACCAACAGCTGAAGTCTCTTTCTATTTTCTGGTGGCAGCAGGAGACAAGATATCTGAAGAGCTTCTACAGCCTTGCTGTGCTTCTGCAGCAGACCTGGTTTATACAAGATCAGGAGATTGGGCAACGCTACTCAATTACATGTATTTCTGTAACATTTAACATAGCATTTCTCAATCTGTCTCCCCAAATTCGTTTCCTACTCATTCAAGGCTGCCTTAGAAATCCACTCCCCAAAGAGTCTAGGAAGATATCCCTAGGCACCTTGTTTAATTATTTACAAGATTTCCTTCTGAAGCATTGGGAGATATTAATAGCCATAAGCAACTCTAGATATTACTAGATGTGAAAAACTACAACATTTTGGTCCATCCTGTGCTTTTTTTATAACCTTCAGCTCTAGACACATCTCCGATTTATACACAGATGTAGCAACATTAAGAAAAAAGTCTGGGGCAGCCATCAGAGAATCTAAACAAAACACGTGCTTACGCATCAATGACAGCTATGACAATACTGACATGTCACTCACACGTATAGAAGTTAAATCTATGACTACTCCTACTTACAAACTCTTGAGAAAACACAGAATGTGAGCATGGCAGAGAAATGTGAGGACTGGACAGGCACAGTAGAATCCAATAGTAGTTTAGGTACCTATAAAAAGGTCTCACCACCAAAATGTCATCCTCTTTTGGGTTTCTAAGGCTCAGTGAAGGAAGCATCTACTACACATTTGCCTAAATAGCACTAGCGTCAGAATAAAACAAAAGTCATCTGCATGACTGAAGTCTAACAGCAATTTCTCTTAAAAAAGGAAAAAGGAAATGAAAGTTCCTGTATTTCTGTTCATGCCCATTGCCTCTTGTCATGTTATTGGATATTACTGATAGAAGTCTGGCTCCCTCTTCTTTACTCCTCCCACATCAGTCTTTTATACACATTAATAAGATCTTCCTTGAGACTCCCCCACTCCAGGAAAAAGTCTCCACTGTCAGCCTCTACCCATATGACAGATGCCCAAGCCCTTAAAAACTTTTGTGGCCCTCCACTGAACTCACTCACTAAGTGCTGAGGAAAAATCTCCCTCAACCTGCTGGCAGTGCTCTTAATGCAGCTAAGGATGCTGCTGGTCTTCTTTGCCAAAAGGACAGACTGCTGGCTCACGGTCATGTTAGTGCCACCAGGACTTACAAGTCCTTCTCAGTAAAGCTGCTTTCAAGTCAGACACCCCCAGGATGCATTGGTGCACAGAGTTATTCCTCTTCAGGAGAGGATTTTGCATTTCCCTTTGTTAAACATTATGAGATTCCGGTTTGCCTATTTCTCCAGCCTGCCAATGTCCTTCTGCATGGCAGTACAACCCTCTGCTGCATTAACTGCTCTTTACCATTTTGTATCATCTGCATGGTTGTTTAGGGCAGACCTAAACAAGGACAAAGTGTCCCACCATCCAGGTCAGTAATGAAGTGTTAACCACTACTGGCTCCGTTATCAGCCCTGGTGTACTCCCTACTGATTGACCCCCCAGCTGCCTTTTGTGCCACTTGATCACAACCCTCTGAGCTCTGCAGTTCAGCCCATTTCTGGTCTACTTCACTACCCACTTACTCAGCCTGTACTTCCCCAGTTTGCCTATGAGGATGTGATGGGAGACAAGTGTTGAAAGCCTTACTACAGTCAACATAAACAGCATCCACTGCTGTCCCCTCACCCACTGTGCCAGTCAATTCCACACTGTGTAAAAAGTGGAAGCTGTTTGTTATCAAAAAAGAACAAAAGTATGCATTAGTAAGCAGGGCAGCCAAAACAGACAGTATTCCACAAAAATCATAGTAAAGCACTATAATTAATTTCGTGTTCAAAGCAAAGCTTTTTCTAATTTCATAAGAAGATACGGCAAGCACACTAATGGAAATGTCTACAAGAAGCCCTAAAGAAATAATGTACAAATCTCATTGAGGGTAGTTATTAACCACCCTCAATGAGATAAAAAAATTGTTATAACCTGTGCAAAGAGCAAGTTTAATCTTGCCAAGTTGGTAAAATATCTGATGATCACACAGACACCCTAGTCCTATTTTCTTAGCTATTCTGAAAACTAATTTCAGACGACCTCTTGGAAAAGAAGTGCTCTAGACAGTCTTCATTCAAAAACAGAAGCAAGTGAGGCATCTTGATATGGTGACAAAAGCCACCTATGATTTCTGCAAATATTTCTTATGTTTTAAGACGGGCTTTTAGACATATATAAATCATATCATGACTGCCTCAAATGACTGAAAATATCATCCAGTAACACTTCCTTTGCTGTTTCGTGAAGTCTTCCACTAAACAGAAAGCTTATCCACTGAAGGAAGAAAGAAGTCTTATAATCACTGTGGAAAGATAATTCCCTGAGAGTAGTAATATGAAAAGTCAAAGACTCAAAGACTGAAATCTTGGTTTATAAATGTCCTAAGATTCAGAATTACCACCAATTTAGCAAGCCATACTCCATTAAAACACACAGAAATGTAACTACAGACATGGATCTGCTTTTCCATATTTTGTAAATGCATAACTTGCTAAGTAATTACGGCTTCTCAGGCAGGATTCAGTAGTAGCATTGACACTTTCCAAAATAGACTTCTATTGAGCATGCATTATCCTCTACATTCACCTTCAGCTTCATAATGGCCTGTATATTAGCCTCATTGTTGAGACTTAATTATATATTGAGCAGAACCCAAAACTTTTCCCCAAAAAATCCCTTCCTCCTCCCCTTCACTCCCCACCCCCAAGAATCACAGACCAAATCCTAGAAGAGCCTGAGTGGTTAGAGAAGACCTTGCCACCTCAACTGCAAATCGTGCATCTCTGCCTTTGTTTATTTTGTTACTACTGGTTATAGGCAGTTTTGAGGTTAGGAGTTAGGCTTCACCTAGCTCTTAGGTTATATTCACAGGTATATTGAATTCCTTGAACTCTCTCCACTGATTAGATAGGGACCATAGTCTTGAATTATCAAAAAAAGTACAAAAGACACACGGGGATCATCTAGCCCAACCACATCCCCCAGTCACTGAGGGTGCCTAACCCAGGTATCCCAAACCGTCCCGCTAACACCAAATGCAACTTTTTAGAGATTCAAATACCTGTGCTAGGTGTCTGCAGGAGGCTGTTTAGGCAAGAATTCTAGAGAAGCATGACATTTTCAAACATATACTGCCAGTACTTTAAAGTAAATTGTATAGGTATGAAGATGGAAAACAAACTAAGTAGTCCTGGAAAGGATGTATTATCATGATTTTTTTGTGTAGATCGATTTTTGCTAGTCAGGAAGGATTCCATATTAACACCTCATTTTTTTGTGAAAGAGACCACAAAATTATTTCTTTTAAACAGTGCATAAGTTCCTTTCATTTCTACATAAACATTGACATGAATTCTTTCTTCTTATTTTTATATCTGTGAAATACTGCATAGTAAAACTCTCTTAAAACCTGAAAGGTGAGAAATACAATGGAAAAGCAAGCAAAAAGAGAGTATGAAAGGAGACGAAGAGTTTTTAAAGATATTATCAAGAATATCTGTTGTCTATGAAAAAGGCAAAAAAGGAACTACAGTCAGTTTAAAGCAAGATTCTCAAGTAACAAAGTCTAAAAATACTAAATTCCAGAAACAAAACTGTTATTCTGAAGTCCTTTTTCATCTCAATAGTTTATTAAAAGCAATGTTGTTCCCATTTAAAGAAGCTCAGTAAAAAGTGACATGCGATAAAGCGTGCTTACTTTTCAATTCTTTTCTGAAATGTAACCATAAAACCTAAATCAAATATTTTCACATTTACTGTTTTTCCATGGGCCATCTATAACCACAGGATAGGTGAATTTGACACAGAGTGAACTGTTAAAAAAGTTATAGATAATAATTCAACTGTTGTTTCTTTAAAGCACTAGATTAGTTAAAGTCTATTCTAAGTTTAAGCAATGAAGGATTTCAGTTTCCTTCAGATGTCATATTGCCAGGGTTAAAAAAAAAAAAAAAAAAAAAAAACACACAGTCCTTAGAGCCCTAATCCTTTTTAATCTAGACTTCAGACAAGCAATTTCTAAAAGCTTATGTGAGTTTTTAAGATGCGTAGGCATTTGTAAAAAAAAAAAGAAAAATACGTTAAAATCCATCTGTTAGGTGTGGCATTGCTAAGCAATGAAGAGAGGCCTTTAAAAATTATAAAGACAAGCAATGAAACACTTTTGGACTAACATGATCAAAAAGACATAAGAATAAAACCACCTTGTGATACAAAATAGATTTAAATATTAAACTGTTCTCTATGTAGAATGAACAGGACAGGTGCTAAACAAATGAGCAGTGATACTATCTGGGTATGGTAAATTAATTCCAGGAAGTTAATTCAAAAGAATAATTTTTTCATTATATCCCAAACTACTTACCTAACACACTAACAAAAACATCGAAAAAATGAAATGTGAGAAGAGGTTCTTTCATCTGGCTAAAGTAGTCCACTATAGTTTTGAAGACATCTCTTTCAAATCCTGAGTATGTAGGCTGCTTCAAATCTGAGCAGCTGGGCCCTACAAAGGAAAAAGATAAAAATTTATTTGCATCCACCAACCAGATCGCTATTTTCTAGTCCAGCCAATAAAAATGCAGCTTCAAGCAGAAAAAAAGAAAAACCAAAAAAACCAAAACTTAGACTCATTCTTCAAAATATAAGTGAAATTGTACTGATCTATTGAATTGATCTATTTCCAATAGGTCTAGTGAAAACATAAAGTAGAGGAAAAATATTATTTATTATGGTTATTTATTATTACATTTAAATAAGCTGCACTGACAGGAAAACATATGCTGGCTGATCTTTTCCAAATTTGTTTAAAGTAATGATCAGAAAAAATATTGACTGTGAATATAAATGGGACTGGATGCCATAAAGGCACAGTTCAATTGATTTTTACAGGGTTTTTTTTTATTTTGTGGGGGGTTTTTTGTTTGGTTTGTGGCTGTTGTTTTTTTTTTTCCCTTTCCTGAATTTACTTACAATTTGCTAGACATTTCATTGCTGATAATATCCAGTGAGGTAGTTCCTCTGCATAGGAGAGAAACAGATAGAAATTAAAAGGAGAAAAAAACTGAGAAAAATGTTATACTGTAAGATAAAAGTGAAGCTGAAAATTCTTTAAGAAGCTCCTCCTATATATAGAAGACTGATTGCAAAGGCAGGCTATATCTTTATGTAGGATCTAGCTTGAATTACATTTACACTTCAGTACCTCCAGTAATCAATATAAAGAAGTTACACCTACTGCTCTTCCACCTCAATCAGCAAAATGGATCATACCACAAATCCTTAACCTGCCCTGCAAAAATCAGCCAAACTAGTTCAAGCTACATCTTCACTAGTGCATTATAGTGAAGTGTTCACTTTGCACTGAAGATGATGAAAAGCACTCATACATTCAGTTCTGTCCTTTCTACAAGGAGGAAGTTAATATCTTGAGGTGCTCCAATTGTCTTTAAAATGAACATGTACATGTTCTGGAGGAGGTTTCATTCACTAACCAAACCAGGTTCCAATCTCATGTTTCACTTCTCTACAAATCTTCTGGAAAACACGGTGGCAGTAATCTTGTAAGTGATATATCACAGCAGCAAAGATGCTTTACTTTCTCCATGATGTAAAAGCAGTTTTAAACTCAGTACTAGTTTCAAAACACATTGACTGAAAACTCAAAACTGAGAAATTTTAAGCATCCCTCAGTGTACATTTTTATTCTTTCCCAATTTTAAATACACATTTCCCTCATATAAATGCTCCAGTCAGTTAAGGGATGGGCCAACAAAGCCAGCTTGAAGTGAATAATATCCCTATCTTTACAAATTAAAAGTTGTGTTCTTTCACATTCATCTTTCAACCCTGCTAAGGCAGGAATACATTTAAGAGAGTAAACATGGAATAAACACCGATTCTTACTATTGGGATGTCAGAGGACAACAATGGCATACTTTGTAAAAACTCTAGCATAGATGCAGTCATAGAAGTATAAAGATAATACATGTTAGATTACAGATACAGATTAAAACTAATACTTTTTTTACACCAGTAAACTACGATATGAAAAAGTTAAATGAAAACTTCTAAAATACTCACTTGATTTGTCTTCTAAAGTGACAATGCCTTGCTTGTTGACATTGTATGTATTTTGGACTATATGCTTTGAATTCACAAGTTTTGTGTCTAACACTTCATCCAGAGAATCCAAACCCAAGACTTTTTGTAATCTGTAAAAACACATAAACACATAGTTCATATATCATCTAATGTGAAAAAAGAAAACATGTTATATTAGGATAGAAACAATTCTGAAAAAGAGACCTTTCCATTTCATAGAATATCCTAAGTTGGAAGGGACCCATAAGGATCAGTGAGTCCAACTCTCTACTCCTCACAGGAGTCCCTAAAGCTAAACCGTACAACCAAGAGCTCCAGATGCTCCTTAAACTCTGACAGGCTTGGTGCTATGACCACTTCCCTAAGGAACCTGTTCCAGTGACTGACCACCCTCTCAGTGAAGAACCTTTTCCTAGTGTCCAGTCTGAACTTCCTCTGATGCAGCTGCACTCCATTTCCTCATGTCCCATCGCTGGTCACCAGAGAGAGGGAATCAGCAGCTCCCCCCTGCAGTGCCCCCTTGAGGAAGTTGTAGGCTGCCATGATGTCACCCCTCAGCCTTTTCTTCTCCAAGCTGAGCAAACCAAGTGACCTCAGCTGCTCCCCTTAAGTCTTGCTCTTGACACCCTTCCCCATGTTGGTCACCATGCTCTGGACACATTCTAATAGTTCAAGGTCCTTCTTACACTGAGGCACCCAAAATCGCACACAGTGAAGTGGGGCTGTCCCAGTGCAGTGTAGAGTGCACTAATCACCTCCCTTGACCAGCTGACTTTGCTGTGCTCAATGCCCCCCAGGACACGCTTGGCCATTTTTGCTGCCAAGGCACACTGCTGGTTCATATTCAATTTCCCAACAACCTAGATCACCAGGTCTCTTTCCACAGGGCTGCTCTCCAGCCTCTTGTCCCCCAGTGTATACATGAAAACAGGGTTATCCCATCTCAGGTGCAGAATCCGGCACTTAGTCTTGTTAAATTTCATACAGTTGGTGACTGCCCAGCTCTCTAGTCTATCCAGCTCTTCCTGTAAGGCCTCTCTTCCCTCAAGGGACTCCACAGCTCCCTCTAATTTAGTATCATTGGCAAACTTACTTAAGATACATTTGATTCCTGCATCCAGATCATTTATTAAAACATTGAAGAGCACTGGCTCTAAACCTGAGCCCTGGAGAACCCCACTGGTGACTTGCTGCCAGCCTGATGTAACCCCATTTACTGCAACGCTATCAGCCTGACCCATCAGCCAATTGATCACCCAAAATATTATGGACTTGTCTTAACTGTGTGCAGGACATTCTGTCCAGAATGATGCTGTGAGAGACAGTATCAAAAGCTTTGATAAAATCCAGAACCATCACATCTACTGGCTTTCCTTGGTCAACTAGATGGGTGACCTTGTCGTAAGAGGAAATTAAGTTGGTTAAGCAGGATTTTCCCCTAGGGAACCCATGCTGGCTATGACCAATGTTTGTGTTATTTCTCAATTATTTTTCAATAACTCCCAGATTAACCTTTACCATAATTTTACCAGGCACTAAAATGAGACTGACAAGCCCGTAATTACCAGGGTCTTCCCTCTTAGCCTTCTTGAAAATTGGGACAACAATTGCCATCTTCCCATCAACTGGGACCTCTCCCAATTCCCAATACCATTGAAAAATAATGGAGAGAGGTCCCACGATGACATCGGCCAGCTCTTTCACTACCCTGGGATGAATCCCATGAAGCCCCATAGATTCATGCACATCCAGCTGGAGCAGCAAGTCTTGAACAACTTCAGGGTCAGCTGGGAGTTTATCATCCCCCAGTCGTTGTTTTCCAACACAGGCCTCTGGGGGTCCCAGAACCCCTCATCAGTGTTGAAGACAGAGGCAAAGAAGGCATTAAATGTCTCTGCTTTGTCTACATTCCTGTTTGTGTGGCGAGTCAGGTATTGATCTGCTGGCTCTTCCTGTTTCTTACCTCATCATTCCCTGCAACTGGAAGGATACAGGACAACACAACTTGTGCTCCTAATCCCTTAACCAGTCATCTCAAGGCCTTGACGTCTCTTTATTGCCCTTGGGCTTCTTATTGCAAATTCATTGCTGCCTACATGAAAAAAAATCAATAATGGATAATAATCTGAGGGCCATACCCAGGGCTTTCTCTTCACATCTTTAGCCGGGGCACCAGGGAGGCAGCAGACTTCCCTAAGAAGTGGGTCCAGTCTGCATATTGGGTCTTCTGTTCCCCTCAGAGGAGAGTCTCCTATGACAATGACTATTTACGGAAATCGTTTTGATGCAGGGTGTAGGCCAACTTAACCTTAGTGTCCAACCTAGATGGACAATTGTCCTTATCATTGTTTTGGTTGCACTTGCAGACAGTTGTACCTGTTAAGCAAGGGCACCTGGGAAAGTGGGGTAGTCATGAAGGAGATGCTCTTACTGCACCAGGCAGGAACTTGTCACCATTCTTCCCTATTCTTTAAGTCACTGCATTCAGACAGGTGGAGAGTGTATTGGGAATCCTCCATATCACGTGTCCTGTTTGCCTGACACACCTGTCCCAGGGAAGGTTGAGTGTGGTTCCAGTAATCTGTCTCTCAGATACCCTGATACTCCTCAACCTACTCACCTCCTCCTGCATCTCTGCCACTAAGCAGCACAGATCCTCTACCTGAGCACACCTCCCACAGGTATACTCACCACAACAGGCCCATACTGGTGTAAGAGTAGGGAACACCCTGCAGCCCAACACCTGGGTGGCAGCATGTTACCATTGGAGCTCTGTCTGGGAAGCTGTGCCAGTCATGGTGAGTGCAGACTTTAGAGAGGACATGCCTTTCTGCTGGGTGGATATCATTGCTCCCTGGTTGAGCTGGCAGAGCTTCAGCTCCTTCCCTGCCTCACCATGCCTTGTTTGCCCACCCTGATGGTGGTACTCCTGGTCACTAGCGCTCCACAGGGGCTTCTTTTATATGTAGGGGTGCTTGGCCACCATTGCTGCTCGCCCTGACCAGGTCTCATCAGCTGCTGTCACATGAGCTGCAGGCTCCCAGTGGGTATCTCCGCCCCCCAGAGGTTTCCCCAGTTCAGGAAACTCTCCTGTACACAGCTGTGAACTGTGCTGGCACCGAAGTCCCTCGCCTCAGCCTCAATTTTATTACATAGATACAATGTGTCAGGTTTAGATAAAAGTAATCACTAGTAAGGCCTCAACTGTGCTGTAAAAATAACTAGTGTATATTATTTTTTTCTCCCGCATAAATAGTCTATAGCAATGCCTTAAACTTTGCATAGGATATTCCTTTTGGAAATAGCAAAGAATATCTGAATCTCAAAGCCTTCAGCACTCAATTAGGTACTCCATTTCTTGTGTCAAATGAAGTATTGTACTTGTCATTGAAAGGTTTCATGATATCGCACTTCTACAGAAGTGCTTCTATCTCATAGCAACAAAAAAAAAGACAAAGACTGAGGAAAAAGTGGTTAAACAAGACAGAGCCCACACAACAGAAGGACTCGTATAACATATCAGGAAGAGGTCAAAAGGTATTAAGCACAATAAAGTTTCTTTGCAAACTTTATTTGCTGAATTTGTTAGCCAAATAACAAGGGGTATAGTTAGTCTAGCCACTACGGCTTTGATGGCAGCAATGAAAGGTGAGTGAGTGAAATTACAAGCATTACCAGAGAAGATGGACAACGCTATTACCTACCACATAGCTTTAGTCTAACAGCAAATGACTCACAAGTATACTCACCGTGACAAAGTCAGGGATTTCCATATCTCTTCTATATTTGTTTGTGTTAGCTCTCTGCGGAATACAAGTTTGCATGCCGGTACTTCCCCTATAGCTATACTGTGCCGCTTGTACCACACTTCAGAGTTCTGAAATCAGAAAAAAACACTCCTCATTAACTGGTGGCTTTTCAAGTATTAAACAGTATAATATACTTATAGTACAGCCTGCTTCCTATTATAAGTATTTTAAATATTCCCAAGTTCCACAGAAGTCTCCAGGATGCAAGTGAGTGTGTAGGTTTCACAGATGTGCAGCATCTTTTCTCATTTACATAACTTGTCCAAAGCTGAAAAATTACGTGTGTCAGAATATCCATTAAAGTTCAGGACTCAATGGCCTCTAGTCCTGTGTTCAGACCCTCTCCATGATTAAAATCAGTTTAACTCACTTGTTTTCAACTACCACTCTAATACTAAACATCTGCTTATGGAGAAACTGTTGGAGAATTATTAAATACTAAGGACTGATATTCATCCTTGTTCAGCATATACCAATTGTAACTAAACATTAAGTTCATTAGCAGATTTTATACATGAAGGAAGTAAAAGCTAATTGCTACAGCTGAAGACACCCCTCAGATCTAGTCCACCATTGTAACAAAATAAAGTAAAGCAGAGAATGCAAGAGACTACTATCAACCTTCACATGCAAGCTCGATGCTTGAAGACTGTCATCAACGTGTCAATGGGTGGATCATACAGTTTGTGTCAGCAGTGTACTTTTTTCAAGGCAAAACTGCTAATTATTCCCAGTTCTTTGATTTACATCACAGAGCAGTCCTAAAGCACATTAACAGTATTCCTTGTGATCACAACCAAACCACAAAATGCACTTCAAGAATGCACTTACTCTAAACACTGTCAATTACTCCAATCATCTGTCATTCCATGACTAGACTAGAGCTAGTTTGAAACAAGTAGCACCCTCTGAAGTCAGTATCTGGTCTTTCACATCAGTATTTCACCTCACAGACCCATGCTTATCAATCCACACAGCCAAAAAGTGCTCTGACTAATTTAAGGTGAAATGACCTTCAGCTACCTGTCTACTTCATCATTACAGTGGAAGCTATACCTTTATCAAAAAGAGCTAGCAGAAAGAACCTTATTCCTTGACCTCAGTTACTTCAACTTACAGTCCACTATATTAACAAAAAAGTACCAATGAAAGAGATTATGAGCTATGCCAGACTGTATGCTGTCGCATCTATGTCAGATGCATACAGGCAATCTTTTGGTAACTCTTATCAGGCCAGAATGCTTGGATGGAAATTTAGAACTGGCATTTGGAGGCTGCAACACGTTAAAACTGCAGCAAATACTTGCTCAGTAACTAAAATACTCTATTCTCTTTACTTGTCTTTGTACCATCTTTTCTTTGCTTGCTCTTAATCTTCTACATACTATTGAAGTTCTAAAGACCACGTTTTTTCCTCTTCAGAAGCCTGCTGTACATGAAAGGTGCGCTTGATCTGCACATAAGGAATTGGATTACAAATCTGGAACAACCATTCATTCAGGATGTCCAGATGTCCAGCAGAATAGTAGGAGCTACTTTTCCAAACAGACTACTGGTCACCTAGAAATCCAAGGCTATTGTCTTGCACTGGTGAGCATTAACAAAAAGGCCAAAATTATAAAAGAAGTCCCAAGAGTTCACAAAATACGAGAACACTGACATACAAGATACACTGGAGGAAGGGCTTAGAGTATACCTAACTCTAGAAGCCTAGGCTTTTAAGATGTCCGAGTGGCAAGGGTTGATACAATTTTAGTTTGCTAATAAAAGCAACAATTTTTTCAACAACTTTACAAAGGTTGGATCAATACAGGTAAGTGGGGGGCAGAATGATTTTCCAGGCTCACTGACCTGGTTTTGTCTGGGACAGAGTTAACTTTCTTCTTAGCAGCTAGTGTGAGGCTGTGTTTTGGATTTGTGCTGAGAAGAAGGCTGGTACCACACTGATGGTTATAGTTGTTGCCAGGACAGTCAAGGGCTTTTCAGCTTCTCTGCTGTGCCAGTGTCTGCAGGTGCAGGAGAAGCTGGGAGGGAGCACAGCCCCAGTTACTAGCCTAGGATTCAATCTTAGGTTTAGTATTGAGAGTCAAATTGGACAATATTTCATATATTCCATATTATGCATGTCACACCAGTATATTATGAGGGGCTATCTGGAAGCTCTCTTGGACGCTTCTCTCTTTTCCAGGATTGTGGTTTCGTGACTCTCTGCTCTAGAATCGTTAGCTGGGAACGAGCAGGGCCATAGTCATCAGGTGGTGACCAGTTGTGCTGGGTATCACTCATTTGTATATTTGTATATTATTATTACTATTATTATCATTATTATTTTCAATTTCATTGTATTTTAGTTATTAAATTGTTCTTATCTCAAACTTGTGAGTCTCTTTTCCCTTTGTTACTTTAATTCTCTACCCTTCCCCTTGGGGGGGGGAGGGCGAGCGAGCAGCTCCCTGTTATTTGCCACTATCTGGGTTTAAAGCATGACGCTGACAAAGGGTAACCAAGACTAGTTCTTCCTAGCCACAGCATATTCCTTATGAAAAGGGAATCACTGACAACCTCATAGCAGCTAGGAAGGGACTAGTACTGTATATATTCTGCTACATGAAGTGTCTGAATAAGAGTTACAGTATAAGTGACAGTAAAGTAACTATTTTGTCTTCTAGTATAATAAATGCCTTACTGCAATTTGAGCAAAATGGAATGCAAGCATACTGACAAATACAGCCATGCAGAACTTAGGATGCTCAGGACATCATAATCAGTAGCAGAAAGAATACTTAAAGCCAACACCTCCAGCAAATCATTAAGAACAACTTTACTTCACATAAGTTTAAAATAAAAGTATTTTTTCATTTAATTTTACAGCCAAGCATTTTTTGCCACAAAGAGATTACTAGTTCAGTTTTAATTTCCAAACATGTTTACATCTGAGGAAACGAAAAACACATATCTTACCATTGTGACTGATTTCACTGGGATGTGTTCTTGAGAAGTGCCAGCCTTTGGTTCATTCCAGTCTGGAAATTTAATTATTTCCTTTCCACATGAAGGTTTCTTTGGATATGGCTTCAGCGGTGAGGAAGGAGGAAATCTACAATTAGAGAATATTTTTAAAGCCTCTGAACTCCATCTTATTCTATATGTAATGCAAAACTGCAGCAGGCATTCACATGCAAAAATACAAAAAATGCCTCAGACATTAACAGTGTGACTTAGTTGCCTGAAGACTGGCATTGAGTGACATGTAAAACATCCTACAGTGTCTTGTTTGGCCACCATCTGCTGCTCCAGAACAGTCAGGTCCTTTGTACATCCCATGACATAGCTGAGCTTTGGGTGAATGTCTGATACCCCAGTGCATCTCAAATGGCACCAGCTGCCTATGCATAGATAACTGACTCAGGTTCTTCACTGGGAGATGTTGATTCTGCTGAAAAACCCATGGGCAGATTTTTCCCATGTCAAGTGCACTGCTAGCATGCATCTCCTAAAGCAAAGCTACATAAGTCACATGACTAACACCTGGATTTAATTAGTGTGCATGCAAGTGTCCACGTAAAATTTTGTCCACATTACCATGTTCTGTGTTTACATGCTTTCTATGCGAATATCATATCCTGCAGTTCTTTTCTGGAGTCTTTTTCCAGCTGTTTGTACAGGAAAATCATTCACTTTCTAAGGCATTTCAAGAAGTGCCTTGAAGAAATTAGCAGAAATAAACCTTACACTAGCCCTTGCAGAAAACAAGGAAAACAAACTATCCCAGATCACCTTCAGCTCAGTCACATCTCCAGCTTGACCAGAATTAAATTACTGACAAACTTAGGTCAGAGCATGTACAAAAGAATTAATGGTAGCACATCAGAAAGACAAATCAGTTCAATGGCAACATATCATCAGACTGCTCCAGAAGATATCTTGTTTACCTGCACTCCTAGGTTTTAGATGCTTAAATTCTGGTGGTTCAATGAATTGTTTCAGCCTCACTCACTTTTTAAAATCAGAATGTAAGAGACAGTTATATCTTTGATCATGCAACAAGAGCTTGTACACCACTGGATAGCATGCATTTATATCCTACCAGAAAGATTCTCATGCTCAAGAAATGCTCAAGTTTTCTATAAAATTTCACCCCAGTCTCTCAAGGCAGTTCCAACATTCAATTATTTTTTAATTTATTTTTTTCTTGCAGTTTTCTTAGTCCAGTAGTGTTAAACACCACACACTGAGCGCATTTGGCTTATTCCACAATGGTTTTCAACATTATCCCTGCAACACAGGGAGATATCACTTCCTTTGGACAAACCCTGAGGAGAAGTAATAAGCACCTTGCACCAATCCGGCAAGGCTTAGTCTGCCTTTTAAAAGTGATCCAGATTACATTGCAGATGTTCAGCTGTTGACTGTTCTCAACTATTTTTGAGATATTCATTATTTCTTACAGTTGAATGTTATAATATCTGCAGCCTTTTTTTTCCTCCTTTGCCTTACAGTATTCTTAACAGTTCCATGTTTCCCCCTCCAGTTCTTCATAATTTTTTAGCTTTATGCCATTTTCTGCCCTGATTCTCAGCCAACCAGTAAGCGAATGAGTTCTTACAAGCAGAAAAAAGAGGTGCTTTCCCCCTTTCCAGGTAACATTACAAGATCTAAACAGAGACAAATTTTTGGCTGGACAATGAAAAGACTCTAATTTTATGATGAACAGAATAATGTTACCTAGAGCTAGCAACTGAGGAGCATTCCAAGGTTGACATGTCAGAATTAGCATGGTTTACAGCCAGCAACATTAGTTTTAGGAGTTTATACAAGGAGGAGATAGAGTGTGCCCTGTTTGTGTCCAGGGTAATTGGTAGAGAACAGGGTAAACTAACATTGGTATCAATGGCATAACAAGTACCACAGCTGAATTCCCAGAAGTTTACTAGCAAGGCAAGAGTCCTAACCGTTTTGCTTTTAACACTGTTGCTTGTATTTAAAAAAAAAAAAAAGTAAAGCCTTACAGCTTCCAAAACCGTAATTTCTCATTTATTATTGTAGACTACACTGAGACAGTAAGTCAGGACACACAGACTTTTGCTATTTTTAGAAACCACACTAGTGCTCACCTTCACATTTAATATTCGCCAAATACTCTCAGGCAAATCAACATTTGGCAACATCTCTTCTGCATTCACTCCACAGAGTATAAGAGCAGACAACTACACTTACCTGAAAAGTTAATGAATGACACAGCTGCCCACCACAGTGTACAGTTACAGCAAATAAACACAGGAATTTATAGCAACAAACTTTCCGGAGTAAGCACTGTCAGTGGAATTAAAAGCAACTTGGTACAACACAGTGAGAGTAGTATTTACAAAGTAACATTAGAAAAGTCCAGCAGAGGGAGCTAACAGGACACTAAATACATGAATAAAGGCAGGCTGTAAAACAGATGTTTAGCTACAAAAATAGAAAAAAAGCATGTTTTAATACTTAAAGACAAACACCCAAACCATGAGTAACATACATAGCTTATTTATGTGCCAAATCCAATAGTAAAAAGCTGTCTCCAATTCAAGACACATGAAAGGTGTGCAGTTTTAGTAAAAAGAAAACTCTTCCATTAGTAACTTAGTTATTTTTTGAATGAGAGATGGAGGAAAAGCATTATTAAGATACCTAAAACAAAAGAGCTCTCTTGTCCAATAGCAGATCATTAGGCAAAGCACACAGGAAATGAAAAGCACAGAAATATTTCACCCAACCAACTTCCACAGACTGCAGCATGGGGAAGTCATGGCTGAAAATACAAAGGAGAACAGAACAAAATCATTTGAATGCGTCATGATGCCAATGCAAAACAAACAAACATGAACTACAACCACAGAAACACAACAAACCCAACCAAAGAGATACAGCGTAATACCAGCAGTTAACAAAACCCATATTCAATCTTTTGACAAAGAGGCAACACCCAGAAAGAAAGGAGACAACATAGTCAACACCTATGGCACCAGTGAAAAAAACTGCACAGGTAGCTCTGTCGTAAGAAAAATAGGCAGAGAAGGACTGGACTAGGGACATACCAAACCAATTACACACCAATCACCATGTGCTGTATCAGCATCCAACTGCTTTTCTAACTCTATTTAAACAAGTAAAAAGCCCGCTCCACACCACTCCTTTATGTTTAACCTTCTCCAGGCCGACGTCTTCTGATAAGCCATAAGATCCTCTGCAGCTCTTCTTGTCTTCCATGCCTGTTTTCCAACTATTCAATGACCAGGTAAACTATCCCAATATCTTGCTCTTCTATAGCAGCCATAAGCAAATGGCCAGAAAATAATTTAAGAATGGGACAAACATACCCGATACTTCCTCAGCATACTTTCCCAGCCTTTGGTCATGTTCAGCTCAGAGAATGCAGAACCATATACTGTTTTGAGATACTTAGCAACAGACTTTCTTGGGTGGCCTTCTCACCATACCTTCAGAGACAAGTCCTTTAATACACTGGGTCCTTCAAATTTGAGTCCCAACTTCTAAAATTTAACATTTTTCTGGATTAATTGTTGCATGTAATTTCTCTTTATGGAGCTAAGCTTAGAGAGAACATTCATTATTCATTCCCCCTAAATTATTCAAAATTTCTTCCATTAAAGTTGATTGAAATTGGTTTGAATATTTAACTTCTTTGGCAGAGAAGTTGTAGCTTTCAGTGTAGTTTTCTTCAGAAAGTAGGCTAGAAACCAGCTACGACTTTTACAGAAAGATATTATGCAGTATCATAAAGAACAAAGTTGAATCGGTGCTAATTTGTTACTGGAATTAAATACAAATCTGATACAATCCGACTGTAAATCAACTGAACTACAGTTTAAGAAGCATCTTGACCAAAGTTTGTTTATGATGAAGTAAAACACTTTCATCATACATACCTCTTACTTTTAAAGTGTTCCAAGTTGGTAAATAAAATTAGGAGACTAATGAGCAAGTGCACTTACAGCACAGGTGTACTCACTAGAGAGCAAAAAAGCTTAGGTACACTCTACAAACAAACTAGTTAAGATCACAGATCAAAATGAAAAACTGGCTTCATCTGCATCAAGTGGAAACTCAGTACTACATATATTTTCACAAAGACAATATTAAGAAATCATTACCAGAAAATTAATACATAAAAATTCTTTGAGTATATAATAATAGATATAATAAGTAGAAACATAGCATTATTGCTTACGTATTTTCCCTGTTGCTCTACATTAAAATTGCTCCTACTTTCTCAAAAGAAAATTCACAGTGATATAAGTTATTAAATCCATACTAAAAGTAGTGGTCATTTTTACACTACTTTTTCACTGAACAGGACACTACAAGATATTCAGAACCTGCAACCTGTGGACACTGAAACCTTAACTGAGTTCACAAGAGGTCAAAGAAGCCACTGCTAAGCTTTCATAACAAATAAAACTCTTTTCCTCTGTTAACAAGACACCAGATGAGAGGCTAAACAGGGATAAGTAAGAAAGCATCCTTGAGGATGAGCAAACAAAACTTTGTCTCTTTTAAGACAAAGACAGAGGACAACTGGAGTTGGATGCTCAATGGCATTCTCACTTCCATCAGTGTCTTCTTGACATGCACTCTTCCTACATTGAGAAACCTGATGTTTACAATCAGCAAACAGAACTAACTACCTTGTAAAAGCTGCAAAACTTTTGTTAGTATTTATAGAACGTAACAGACTAAAATATTTTTAAAGTGCCCTTTAAAAATATTCAAAAACAAACAAGAAAAAAAAACCCAAACCCAAGTCAAACATTAAATTATGACAGCTGCCTATCCCTAAAAAAACCAAGGTCTTTAAAAGGAAGAGGAGGAAGACACATTAACACCTTTTCAAAGGCATTCTACAAAAACACTTGTATGACCAATGCACAAGAGTTTCCAAAAAGCAAAATTTTTCAGTTGCTATATAGAGATTTACCTATATAAATGGCCATCATCTTGAAAGTCCTCTTTGCCCCATCTTCCTTTAATATCTTCAATAACATGATTTTTCAGGAATTTTTTAAGGAGCTTAACTGTTTGATCGCGAGTCACTTCTGGGCCAAAGTTTTGATTAGAGCCAAGCAGTTCTTGTAAACAGTCCACTGCTTCCGAGGCCTTGAAGCAATGCTCGTAGCTTTTGAAGCGACACCGATGCTTCCGTAAAGGCATTCCAGCACGAAAAATTTCTATTATCTCATTCCACTAGGGAAGAAGAACAGAGCAAACAGTTACAGAAGCCCTCCTCCTAGGAGCATTTTGATTATACAAAATGAGACCAGGATGCAGCCAGATCTGAACGCAGAACTACAGGTTTTTTTAATCACCTGCGTTTACAAACACATTGAAACCTAAAGCTATGATTTAAACAGTTGAGATCCGGCAACAAACACCAGATTTAGGAAGCTGAAAGATCTAGAGCCCCATACTGCCTGCAGCTCTACGGAGACAGCTTTAGCCTCCCCTTGGCTTTTAAATCGACAAAAGGCCGGACTATAGCTCCGCTCCGCCGGGCTCTGCAGCCACAGTCCCGCGGGGCGCAGGGGTCCAGCCGCCCCCCACAGACTCGGCGTGGAGGGGGAGCTCCAGCACCCGGACGGCGG